CAGTTTAAATCAATCATAAATAACAGTTTATTTATTTGACATTTGACTCTGCGCAATTTTTTCAGCGGCATCGGAATCGATAGTGACTTATGACATTTTATTTAAAACCTCAATGTCGAGGTATTACTGAAATAAATACATTTTGACCGAGTTTTCCACTAGCAGCCTAAAATTTAAATAATTGTATTAAGAGCTTAGCTGCCGACAATTCTCAAATATAATACGCATCAGTGAAAGTAGAGAAGAATTTTGAGTAGTTTCATTTAAAGTAGTTGGTACAGAACTGTGTATTTTCATTTAAATTTTAACTTACAATCCAACATTCTTAATACCCCGTATTTTGTCACCAATAAAAGCATTCATAAAGGAATTAGTGTTCCATACGTGGCTGATTTAGCCCGAGTCAGATATCTATTATTTTATGATAAACTCCAGTCCCATCCGTATCCACTTGTTTCCAGCCTTGCTATTTCATCGATTCCTGATAATCCTCCTATGCCTCTGAAAAGAAATGCCCTCATGATCGTGAGAGATCTCATAAAAAACATAAACCGATAAAAAATGCAATAAAAATATCTTATCGGGCGTGATTCTATTCGATGTTTTTTATTTCCTTTTTTTTTCATTTTGTACGGAATTCAGGAAGTTTTCAAATACTCATTTAATGAACAAAAAATTGTGTACTTTTTGAGTAATGCGCGAATAAAATTGTGAATTCATCATTAAATTTTTTCAGTTTTCTTTAGGGGAAGTATATTGCTTGAATTTATGTTATACATAAATTAAAAGGGCTTCTTCTAGAAGAAGGCTTTAGCCGAGTCTCATTAAAATCGTTACATCCCTTTTGGCTACAGCATCTCATGCTTGGCCATTTCAAAACAAAAAGCCGAACGGTAATAAAATGAAAAACACTCCTGAATTTGATTGCAACTTTGTGTCACAATTTCAATGCAATCAGTGAAGAACTTTCTTAGATTTGCGGTTTTGAACAAACTAACGTTTGTTATGTGTATATATATATATTCACTATTTCCAAAATTTATTTTTGGTAGGACTAAAGCTTACCAATAGCTACTAAACAAAAGAAGTAAAGAAAATCAATTTGAGAAACAGAGTGGAAAAATGTACTGAACTTTTTTGTCTCTACATTTTCATATAATGATTAATGAATAAACAAATCTGTTTATATTGTTTAATAATTATGTATGAATATATGTTATTCCATATATGATGTTTCTTTTCGTGAATGAAGTAATCTTAAATAGAATTTTTGTTGGTTGAATTAACTTATAAAATATATAGATCCCTTACTGAGACGACATCGCATTAAATATTCGACAAAGCAGAAGCACAACCTCTCCCGCCCCTTCCTCATATGTCACTCTTGATAAAATCCCTTTCATTTGCTCCCTCTGCTCTCTGCTTTTGATCTTTCCTTGTACATGATAAACATTCTGAGTTTTAGTTAGTGGAATTTAATGTTATAGATTTTGAATTAGTTTTCAATTTAAAATTAAATCCATAAAAAATGGACCTTTTATTAAATCTTAATTGTTACTATGGGGAATTCCTTTATAACGCGTCATCTGTCGCATTGTAAAGTATTGAGACAATTTTATTATTGATAACTGCATGATCAAAATTCGGAACCAAAGAATATGAGTTATGCTTAAGTGACATCAGTAAATTAATTATTGAATTCGACAAAATAGTAATTTAGCAACAATTCCTGTTAATTCGGGACATTGACCTATTTGTAAAGTATTTATAAGCAGTAGTACCATTTGATAATTGAGTAAAAAGACATGTGTTTATTCGTCAATACTGATGTGTCCGTATTGAATCTTCTAACTGAAACCAATGGATTATTATTGGAGTATACATTATGAAATTTTTTCACGTATTGCCATAACTTTTATATTAGTTTTCAAACTGGTTCAGAAAGAAAAATGAGCCTTTTCGGGGCCTACAAAAAAAAAAAAAACCTCTCTTGGTAAAATAAATATATAAAATAAAAACCTCTCTTGGTTGTCATGGATGGAGTTCCAAAACGTGAACATGAAAATACCTTCCCGTCTCAGGAGGACTATGTTAATGAAGAAAGATAATCATCGAGGAAGGAGTACTCACCAAAACGATTTTGGCCGTTCAACAATTTGCCTTAAATTTTCCTCCCCACCCTCATCCCCCCAACAATCACTAATTATCCTGATCGTTGTCCCCTTGGCTATTTCTATCCGTCTTTGCTTTCCATTATGCTTTGATAAATATATTACTAAACAAAATAAGCAAAAAGTTCGGAAGGGTACGTTATGGAATGGAACAATCCAAACTACTAAGCCATGAGTTTGCAACATACAAGTGAATAATTAAATTGCCAATGTTTCGCAAATTGAGGCATCGTCAGGGCAGAATAAACAATATACCACATATATGCCGAAAGAAAAAAAAAAATACTATTGACATCTCATCAAGCCATCCAAAAACATACTAAAGGAAATATGAAAAGAAGGTTAAATAAAATAATGTAGAGATGGTTGACCGTTGATATAATATGGGAAGGAGTTAATCGGGGGGGGGAGAGGGGGGGGGGAAGTACGGTCAGTGTTTCACTGAGCGTTTCAACTGCCTCCCGCAGTGTTACATCCTCCGCCCTGAAGACGACCTGCAAAGTGGGTCGAAACGTCGGCAAAATTAAATAATTTAGTATTTATTTGACCGCACCTCCCGATTAACTCCTTCTCATGTTAAATAAAATAGCTGATTAGTCACTACTATCTCTATCTAGAGCCTGTATCACTGTAGCCTGTGTGTAAATAAAATAGAAAAAAAAGGAAGACCTAATCAAACGTTATTAAGTCTCTTTTCGAGTTTTTTTTTCTTTCTTATTTTAGTAGTATTATTTATGGAGTAGCCGGGTATCCCTAAGTTTTGTGGGGTACATTTTATATCCTGTTTTATTAACTCATTTGTGTATTGTTATATTTCAAGAATGAGCATTTTTTTCTCCTATATCCCTGCTAATCATTAAAGCCGATCTGAAGGGACTGGGTTTGGACGGCGAACGGTGGAGGGAGGTGTGTAACAAGCGATTGGTGGTGTCGGCATCGAACCTTCGGGTTCGCTAAGCCTTATTATTATTATATCCCTGCTAATCAGCTGTTTTATCCAGCTTTCCTCTCTTGTTTCCTTTAGTACGTTTTTAGATGGTTTGATGAGATGTCAGTAGTAAATGTTTTTTTCTCTCTCTTTCTTTCTGCTCTAGAGGATAAGGTCAACTCCAGCCTGAGGTGAGGTGAGCCCCATAACCGATTATATTTCAAATGTAGAAAAAATACTCAGAAACGACAAAAAAAAAAAATAGAAAAATACACCTTGCTATGCTTTTTAGCAGTAAAAGGATTATTAAGAAGACAACAAATCGAAGGATTCAAGATGAATATAAATAAAATGGGGCTATGAAAAAAAGAATTGACATGTACCAAGTTCGACTTAAAATTCTGAGTTCTGTGTCATATATAAAAACACCACTGCACCGATACGACATGCAGTGAGAAGAAACGCACCCACTATTCTCTATACATGAGTTTTTCATCCAGTTGTACCTTTGTAATAATTATCGTTGGATTCATACTCTATTTTAATTGTCGTTCTGGGTTTATTAATACAAATATTTATTAAACTGTTATCATTGAAATCCTTTGGAATTGCTTGAAAACACTATGATATACTTTTTTTTTTTTTATTTCTTAATGACATTTACAACTGTAATACATAAATACATCTAGTAAATTTGGAAATAATAGATATAATGACATGAATACACTTGCTGAGTAACTACCCAATGGTAGCACTCTAATGATATGACTACATTAGGAGATCACGGGGCCATCTTCTTTTCACGCCTCGGAGGGTTATCAGGAATTGATGAGGAAGCAAGGTTAGAAATGAGAGGGTTGGGATGATTCTGAAGTTTATTATGGAAGGATAGGTATCTGGATTGGGCCAGATCTGAAACATAAGGAACATTAAGATCTTTATGGATAATTTTATTAGAAAAAGTAAGGAGCATTGAGGATTTTACGAAGGATTTTGGATTGTAAGGATTGGATGCGAGAGGAATTCGATGGTTTAGTGGAGCCCCATAGCTCAACTCCGTAAGTCCAAATAGGTCTTATTATAGTCAAGTATATGAGTCTTTTGTAATTAATGGGAAGTTTAGAGCGTTTGTCTAGTAAGTGCTGAAGTAATTGAAACGTCGAGCGGTTTCTTGTCGTCCAGTCTAGTATGAGGATTCCAAGTTAGTCGCTTGTCCAGGTGGAGTCCTAGGTATCGGATTCGCTCAACAGGGATAAGTGGAGTATTGTTAAAGGAAACTGTAGGACAGGCAGTCGTTGGTTTACGACGGTGATATTCTTTAAAGACCAAATAACATGTTTGTCACATTTTAAAGTCATTATAGAAATTTCTAATTTCGATCAGTGTTGCAAATTTGCCTTACACGCCCTACTGTGTGAAGCATTGATGCTTAGGTAGAGCCTGTAGAGAAGGAGGTTCGCGCAGTGTAAAAACGAACATAAAAGACAATTTTTTAACCAAATTAAAAATAAAATTTTTGAAATATATATTTATTTATTTGTGGTGAATGTAGTTACACTCCATTAGGTTTGTTTAGGAGCGAAATAATTAAATGTTACGATATAAAGTCATGCTAATGAAATACAAATTTTTAATAGAAATAAATTTTAGAAAGCAGGAGAACGTTTTTATAGCTTAAAAAAATATTTTATTTTATTTTTATTTTTTGCAGAAGTTATTAGGAAAGTCTTATTTGCCTACAGGTGTATTTTATTAATTAGATTTTATATTGGATTTAACATTATATTTTATACCAGCTAACATGTGAAGTATCATGTTACAATACTCGCCAATATAATTATCAATATCATATCAAACATATTATTTTATTTATTGGCTAATAATACATGTTTCTGTTTCAGCTGTACTAACCTGTGAAGAGAGGTCTACCAATCAGGTGACAGGATGGTCTGGGGCACCGCATTGGCAATATCCCGGTCAGTACTCAACATACTTAGAACTTTTTTTAGATTGAATTTAGAAGGAACTGAAAGTTATTCGGGTGATAATGATAAACATATCATCGATGTATTGCAAAAAGTCACTAATTTTATTTTCTATACAGCTTTGTACTTTTTTATTACATTTCTATCATAAATATCGATAAAATAACGAAGTAAGTGCACCAAAATGATACGAACCTTTTATTGTATTAAATATATCTGCACTAAGACCACAATCATCCCCTTTCACAAAGATAAAATCAATCTAAGCACTTAGTGATTTAATTTTCTGAAATGTTACAAAATGACTTTTTGAAATATAATCACGATATGTAAACTAAATTTGTGTTGCATGTCTTCCACTTCTGTATTATAGTAAACTTTCCTTGATGTTTTATTATGATTATTAATAAAGAGGAAGATGTTCCACGGGGCAGCGGTCATAAAAAGACTAAAATAGTAAAAAAAACTATTTTATTTCAAGCTAACGTTTCGACCCGACTTTGCAGGTCTTCTTCAGGGCGAACAAGATACAAAAGGATATAGAAAATTGTTGAAGTTACATAATATTTATATAAAGATTATAAACAATGTGAATAAACCTATTAAAATTATAAACAGTGGGAATAGATAGTACATAGAAATATTAATAATACATAGACATATTAATATTAGTTTAATATTTCTATGTACTTTCTAACCACACTATTTATAACTTTAATAGGTTTATTCACATTGTTTATAATTTTCATTTAAATATATAACTTCCACAATTTTCTATATCCTTTTGTATCTTGTTCGTTCTACCCTGAAGAAGACTTACAAACTCAGGTCGAAACGTTGGTTTGAAATAAAATATTTTTTTCACTGACTTTCCGGACTATCTCCTTTCTCTAAAATACACAACGGCCAACAATGAATTATTCAATATAATTATTAAAGACGTCTAACTAAATATGCTCAGTTCTTCTCATCGTGTTGAAGCAATCACGTTTTCACGACTTTTAATTACCAAACCCAACGAAATTGAAAAAAAAAAAATCAATATACGCAATTCCAGAAATTTCCAAAAGGTCTAACGATGTTAAAGCAGCTTTTCATTGCAGTTTACGTTACTTCTTTGACTCATCGCTCATATCGTAAACATATGTCGTGCAAATAGCTTTGTAATAAATCGATTTTCTAGCAATTAAGACGTTGATCCTTTTATTTGTAAACAATACCTTCATTATTTGCAAAGTTTTTCAAAGTCTAATCGTTAATACGGTAAAAATTCCTATTTCGTCCCGAAAATAACAGAAAAAAAAATCATGAAACTGTATGTTAGTGAGGATTTTATTTATATGACCATTATAAAGACGTAAATAGTTAACTTCATAACCCCTTCTTGATAAAATCTTTATATCATAAAGTTCCATACGCATTAGTACTAATATTAGGCAATTATTAGAACTCATTTTAGGCCATTTTTTAGAACTTAAGTAATAGTATCTCGTGTTTTTGTTGACTTTATTCGGAAAATAATTTCGTTTAAAAACGTTGTGTTGCATAATAATGGCTGCTTTCAATTTCAGGATAAATTCTATAATCTAGAAATTAATTTTACCTCATAAACCCTGATTAGTATGCCTGCTTAATTTAATTCTGCAAAACTTCAAAAAGCAAATCAACTATTATGAGGAAAATGCAGAGGTTGTAAACAAAGAAGCGGGAGATCGTACGCTCTAGAGCAGATCAATGGGGAAGGGGTGGGGGTTGTACAAGGTCAAGGCCGCTCTGTAAATACTCCCCACTCTTCGGATATTTTTACCTTACTCACATCTCTATCTCTCTTATTTATTTATATCTTTTGTTTTAACTTTCTCCTCTTCACTTTTTTATTTTTATCAAGATTTTTTTTTATCGAATATAGTTGTTTCTTAATTTGTTTTTATCCTCCAACTTTCCCTCTCATACCCACATATATGGAATAATCTAAAAACCACGGTTAATCATATTTTTCCATATTTACTAATTCTTGAAGAATAAAAAAGGATAAAAAAAAAACAGTATATGACAATAGTAAATGTTCTTATATTTATCTAAAATAAAAAAACAATGTGTATGAGTCAATCCATCTCAAAACCAACAATGATGGTTACTGACAAAATTTATTTAATTTTTTACATATGTTTATGCAACAGATGCCTACTCTTCCCCTCAAGGCCAATGGTCCTTACTCCTTTCCAAAGAAACTGTATTGCTTTCCTCTTCTTAATAACAGTACAATCGAAAGTAGAATTAGGAAAATTGTAGATCATACGCAATTGCACTCGTGGTCTATAACATGTCTTCTCCCATGTATCTTTGTTTGGAATTTTGTCCATATAATGGAACTTAATTGTAAATGACCCAAAATAATAGTTTAATGTTTAGGTTTCCAAAATGAAATCAAATCTCTGCCTATGTTTCAATAGGCTGTTAAAATGTACTACCAGTGCTTGTAATGTACTTTTATTTGAGATGTTTCAGCTCAAAGGACTGATGTAAATTTAAGCACTAACCTTGGTTTTCACAGATTTTTCTAGAAATTTCTATTAAAAAAAAAAAATGAAAAAATACTTGCTAAACTCAATATTTTTAAACTTATTTTATTTTTATAACAATTATGTTATTTGCTATATTAAAGGTATTTTTGTTTAAAATAAAATATATTTTTAAAAAATAATTTTATTAATATTAATAAAATATTACTAAAACTGCCTAAGTTATTTACAATTTTTAAAAATTCTCATTAGAGTATATACAATCTTACTATCTTATTTACTAAAAGACTAAATGAGAGTTAGCATCACAATTTTTCTTTGTTTGTTTAATTTCCGAAGTCAGTCAGGTTATTAGGTCAAAACATAAACCTTTAATGATCAAACGTTGGCTTGAAATAAAATAGTTTTGTCACTATTTTAGTCTATTTATGATCACCACTCCAGACCATCTCCTTCCTCTATAAACCTTTAATGCTTGCCACACCAGACTTGAATACAATTATCAAAAAAAGATTGCATGAGAAAAGAGATAGTAAATTTACTAGATTAGATACATTTATATTGATCTGTGTTGTGTGCATGTGTTTATATTTTATATGTATAACCAGTTTTCTGCTTGCTCTGTGTTATAATTCAAAGTAAACAACCATGATTCAAAATTCATCAAGACAAAACAGGTGCTTAAGTATATATATATTTTTTAAGCACTTATCTTAAATACTTATCATGTAATATGCACTGTTATGATATAGCTTATTATTTATTTATTTTGTTTGCGATATCAGGGGTCGACCAGAGCCTTCCAGTACAGGTGCCCCCGCTGCAGCTTGGAAGGGACCCCATCAGTGGGCAACTTCTGATCCTTCCTTCAGGCAATATAGGTCAGCAGAAGTTCTGATTACGTTTTATGATCCTCTGGTCTTATTTTCTTAATTTAACAGAATTGAAAATTAAGTTGGATGAAAACATTATTTATGCAGAAATCGTGGAAAAATGTTCAATAATTTAAAAAACAAATTAATTTAATTTTTTGTTTAATTATAAATTATTGCAATATATTGCTCAAGGTTTCTGTAAATGGAATTCATTAAACTATTTTTGCATGGTTTTCTATAATCATGTAGTGATAAGAACAAAAGTTCTGTTGGACATACTATATTTTTCATCTGTCATTTATTGTATTTGAAAAAAAATTATAAATCACTTCATAAAGAAATGTAATCTGTCCATTGGTTCTAATTTTTTGCAAGACTAATTATTCTTCTGTTTGATACTGATGTATATTTATCTTGAAGTGCTTATTCAGCCAACTTAATAGATACTTGAATAAAGATGAGTGTTCAGGAATAAGAACTTGATATTAACAATGTAAAGGATTAGTGGGTCTATCTGACTGTTTCACTCCCTCCTCATCAAACCCTTATCACTTTCTGATAATTCAGAGAATATTGTTTTCTTGTTTCATGTCATCGTCGAAACTGTTGATCTAGAAACAGTTAAGCCTTATTAGCTCAATTTCTGATTGTTCTCATTCAGAAGAGTTTCTTATCCAAATGCTCTCTGACCTTACGTTAATTTATAATTTCACAATAAAAATTCACTATGTATTTAAAAAGATTTTTGAAAGTAACTTCCAATGCTTAGACCATTTAATTATTTCTTTATTTATAATTTATTGCTGCAATATTATTTTAATCTTATGCTAATTATATGGATTCCTATTACAGTTTTTGTTTTAATAACTTGTTACACTTTTGTAAATGATTATTTTTGTATTAGTTCACAGCAAATATTTCACGTATGTTGGTTTTCAATATGGCACAAAACATTTTTAAAGTATGAATGATTTCTTTTTCTAGGGGACTCTATGCAAAGAACGGTTCTCTGGCCAGGAGGAAGCACGACCGGTGGAAGTAGCCAGCCGCCGCCTCTTGTTATGCCTAGTCCACAGCCTGTCCTTCTTTCAGACAGGTATGTCACTCTTGCTCCACCTCCTTCAACTGCTCCATCATCTGGGCATCATCATCATCACCATCATCATCAAGAAAAGAGGAGATCCCACGAGCATTCGACAACTACTATTCATGGTTAGTTTTTATAATAAGTAATCAAAGAGATGTTCTAATAATTGAAAATATTTAAATTGTAGATTTTCTTTGCATGATTCATTAATTTATTCTTGGTGTGTAATATTTCTGTTTATTTTTAAATTGCTAATAAATTTAAAAATGATATTGATTGGTCCTAATGTTAAATAAAAGTAAACATTTAATTTAATTTGGTGAGATTTAATCTAATTAACAAATTTTCTATAAATAATAAAGAAATCAGGAATTAGTCCTGTTGAAGAAAAAATATGTATCTGAAACTGTTTTTACTTTCACTTACCTATATATACAATATATAGTAAGAGTAAGTATTGCGATCATGAAAATTTTCGAATCTGAGTTTTCAACGGAATTACACGTTTTGAGTTGTCCTGAGTCCAAATAACCAAGTCCCAAAAAATAGTCTATGTGAACAGCCTAGCTCAAAAATAAAAATTTGTATGAAACTGAAATTGCATATTTAAGGTTTTTTTAAGCCTGAGATGTTACAGCAAAATTTTTTTAAAAATCGGAAAATCGGAAGTGTTACTTTATTTAACACATTTTTACGATTTTCTCAAAAACAGCTCTAATGATATTGATTAAACTCAGTATACCAGTATACTATTAAGCATTTATTAATGTAGATTTTGTTCTCTAACAGGACTTAAATGGCTAATTTTTAATATTAGCATCCTCCAAAGTACCATTAATTTTTTTATTTGAAATAATTAACCATTTCACATTAATCTTTGATATAAAAAATAGTTAAATATATAATATATGTAAGAATTTGATAATTAACTAAAGGGGAAATAAGAGATTGTGACGGATAATAGCCGTAATGGTAGAAACAAAAGAATACGAGCGCACCCGAGCTCGCCCAAAAGATTAGAACATGCTTCCATACGTAACATGAGCTGAATATAATACAAACTCCAACAATATTATGTAGATATATATATGCGGTTTTCATAAATGCTACGGTTGGTATTCTTTAATATTTAATTGTATGAATTACAGCGATATAAAAATTAAAATTTGTATATATAAGGGTAATTAAACAAATAAAAATACCTACAATGAAATATAAACAAATATAGCATCTGTAATTTTTACTTTTACTTCCCCTTTGTCTGAAAATAGTTATTTCTGCTAAGAAGAGGGTGGTAAGTGAAAGTCGTTCGATGCGCACACCAGATTTTTTTTTTATGTATTTGAATACTTGTGTATGTTCTGTATTAAATTTGATTTAAGAATTTTCTTACTTTCATTAATGTTTTAAACTATAGGTAGTAGTAGTGGAGGTTTGGCTGTAGGCCTTTTCCCTCCCCCTCCACCACCACAAGCTCCGTTTCTTATGATGCCCTTTTCTCATCAAAATAATTCTTTATTACTATCAACTCACTTAACTGAGCACAATCTGAACACTATGGTGGTTACAAATCACCAGTTATCAGAATCAGCAGTCCTGAATCCGATGGAGGTAAGTTTTTTTTTGTTTTTTTTTTTAATTATTTTAAAATATTGAGCTTGGTGTAGCACTTTATGAATTTTATTCTATGTCAAAAAATACCTTTTTGAAAAACTAAGTTTAATATATTTAAGAGCTGCTATATTAATTTACATGAATGTTTGAACTTGAAAGCTTCAACTTATCAATATAAGATTAAGATATGAAGAAAAAATGAAAATTTATGTAATCAGTAAAAAAAAAAAAAGTGATCTAACTTACAAATTTTTGAGGCTGATTTGAGGCCTTTGAATTGTTGCCTAAAGAAATTAGAAGTTATAACTTATATACTTTTTTTTAATAGTATATATATATATATATATATTAATGATTGTTAATTTTTGTTATAAATATAGTTCTTTTGCTGTTATTCTACAGAAAGTGAGATTGCTGGTTATATAAATACTGAATGAAACTCCCTAATTAAATTACTTTAATTAATTTAAAATAATAATTTTGAAGATATTAACTATTAGCAATTTAATTATTGGTTGTATAATAATTTATTACTTATGTTAGGTATTAACGAGTCCTGTGGATGGCTTTGGAGGAGGAAGCATGATCCAACAGCTGCCACCTAGTGTCGTGATCTCTCATACTGAGACCAACTCTTTCGTCAGGTCCGATATAAATGCAGTTTATCCACCCCAACATCAAGATCAAACGCAAACAACGCAACCACAACAGCCTTGTATACAACAAGAACAGATAGTTGTGAAAGAAGAAGTTGAACAAGGGGATGAAACAGTTGAAGAAGAGGTACATCTGATTGTAAAACTGTTTTTACAGTAAAATTTCTTATTTACAGGCAATAATGATACTTAAGCTTTATTGTTTGTAGGCTGTTGAAGATGAAGTAAAGACAGAGGTTATGGATGCTTCTAACCAGACAGAAAGTCCTGTAGAAGACGAAGAAGAGAGTGAAGTAGAAGAAGAAGTGATTGTCAAAGTAGAAGACAAAGGATGCACTACTGTGGAAGAGGAGCAGCCCATAGAACCTGACATATCAGGGCTGGAACTTCTCAGCAGTATTGCTCAATTCGAGAAGAGAAGTAGTTCTAATGAAGAGTCATTTGAGTCACCGTTACCAGAGGATCCTCAGAAATGTGAGGTAATGTTTAAAGTTTCTTCATTTACTTTTATTCTCGTTAGATTGTTTTGTGTATAGTTTATTTTTATTTTTAAAAAATTTGTATTAATTCATGGACATAGTTGCTTATCAGTCATGGTGGTCTATGTTTTTAATTACAGATCATATATTGTCGATGATGATAACGATTTGTTTGTTTGGTTTTTAGGAAAAAATGCCTGAAGATGAATGGAATGAAGATCCTATTCAAGATGGCTTAAAAAGTGGCCTTGGACTATTGTGTTCAGTTGCTGAACGATGTCTGGAAGAAGAAGTTGTCGATGAAAGTTATGAACCCAAGACGTTTTCTTCTGCAACAGATCCTGTTGTTGATGATTACAGTGAAAAAAAGGATGAAGATGAAGATCTATCTGATGTTGAAAATCTTTCTAATGGTGATTATCTTTAAAAACATGCTGTTCTAATTTCTATTAATTTAAAAGTATCTTACATCATGTTTATCTATTTTAAACTGTACAAATTTCTCCTTAATAGATTGTGAAAATTCATCTGAAAAGGAATTAAGACTAAGCATTGTTCCTGAGAAGAAAGGAGAATGGTTTGCTTCAACAGAAAGGGGCCGAGATAAATTGAAAATGAAAATCACTCGGCGTCCAGGAAGGCCCAGAAAGAAAATAAAAATAAGTCAGTACCTTAAATATATTACTTAGCTAATTAATTATAAATGAAATGTTGTGGTAACTTCAATGGATGAAAGTATAATCCATTTTCACATTATTCCACTCTCTGTGGGTATTTAATTTTCAACTGTACTCCACTTTTGAATGTATTAATCAATATTTGTATTATGAAAATAAAATCACTTAGAATTTTATTAAAGAAGGATTGTTTTAAAAGATGACTAAAAATAATAATGAAAAAGGAAGTATTTAATATTTTAATTTGTTTTCACCCACTTGTATTATTTTCTTCGTAATGAAGGGATGGTGCCTAAAAACCTGATAAAAAAAATTATTTATTTAATTCTCCAGAAAGGGATTTATCTTTTAGAGTTTCTAGAATTTCAAGAAAATAAATACTTGAAAACATTAATGAAAACCAAAAACAACATGTAAATAAAAAAAAAAACGTAATATATAAGCTCGCCATTAGTTTCAAATAAATTTCATTGTCATTTCTTAATTTTTCAAAATTCAAAACATCGCTATGGTTTGAACCATCTTTGGCTCTATGAAATATAGTGTTTGTTTTGTTCTTTGTTTATTCTTTTAACTGTTAGGATCCCTTAAATTTCCAGAAGTTAGAAAATTACTATACAGTATATATGACTAAATAGGAAGTTTTTCTAACATTTAATCTTAAGCTCAAAGAGAAATTGATAAAATTAATGAAGGATTATACTCCCATTAGAAGACTCCAATTTTATTTTGATTAATAGCCACTCGGAATAAAAAATCCTATTCTAGAATCAGTATTGTATTAATATTCTCATTACCACTAGTCAACTGTTTGAAAATAAATGTTTAACTGTTTCAGCTTCTAATTACATATTTCCATTTCCTTTCCTCTTAGCAGAACCATTTCATATATCTGAAATGGGTCACTAAATGTGCAATGCTTTCATTAAAGAAAGATAATGAAGTTGTTGAAGTAAAAGAAAATAAAGTAGATAAATCTGAATGTGCATTAAATGATCCAAAAATTTCATGAGGGTAAAATTTTAGTTTTAATTAAGATAATTATTGATTATCTTAATTGCTAATTCATATTTTGATAGCTAATGCTAAAAGTAACCTATATTCATAAAGCAATTGTAAGCTTGGTAAACTGGCTTGAAATTTAGCGTCATTATAATGACTAAAGGAGGATTAAATGAATTAGTATATATTTAATGGTGGTGTCCATAGGAAAGCGAAAGTCTCCAAATCGATGTGAGCCTCCAGTTTTACAACCTTGGTCTGCATCTCCTGACGGTGCAACCTCTCCTTTGACGTCTCCTCCCACATTGACCCCTCATAAGAGGAAATTGTCTCATGATCTAAGTCAGGTAGATATTAATTCTAATCTTGGAAAACAGTCTGTTAGTAGTAGATGTTAGCTATATTTTATTATTTTTATGTTTCTAATATTATTCAGGAATCAGATGAAGGAAGTAGCAGTAGCGGTGGTCATCCACCACCACTCTCTCCTGCGTGCTCTAGTCCAAGTAGTTCGAAGAAGAGGAAAGTAGGAAGGCCGAAGAAGCGAGGCGATGAATCTCCACAAGAAACGGAATTAATGGTTACCAAGTCTCTGCCATCTAGTAAGGCTATTGAACGAATTTTGGCAAACAAGTCTGGGATTTCTAATCATACGCCGTCACCCTCACCACCACCTTCATTGTCTAATATTGGGTCTCAGAACAAAATTAAACCAAAGCTAAAAGCTGAAGCTAAGGTAACTTTTAAATTAATTTATGAGAAGGAGTTGGTCAGGGGATGCCGTCAAATAAATACAAAATTTTTAAAAAATAGTATTTTTAATTGTTACGCCGATGTTTGACCCACCTTGCAGGTCTTCATCAGAGCTTGCAGGTCTTCATCAAGCCGTGCCTAGTGCCACTCCCTGATGCCCCTGATGATTTGAATATTTAGTATTTATTTGACTGCACCCCCCGACCAACTCCTTCTCATATTATATCACAGTCAACCATCTCTACATCATTATAATTTAATTTATATTCAGTTAACAACCTAACATGCTGTTATGATCAATACATTTCTAAAACCACAATTTCAGTTGTTCTTACCAACTATGTCAGTTTATATTTTATAATTAAGCTGCACCTAATATTAGTATTTTTGAAACCCAAACTTTTTAATAAATCCCTGTATGTTGTATCTGTAATCCCAATAAATTGAACAAGTCAAATACTCTGACTTTTCAAAGGATCAGTAATTTTTTATGTTTCTTCCATTTAGAAGTGATGATTAGACAACGTTTACACTTCAGAGGACTTCCATCATTTTAGTCTCTTGATGATTTAATTTTCTAAATGTCATTTTGAATATAATATATTTAATGAATAATTTCAGGTTAAAGATTGGCACGATGATGAAGAGCTAGATTTGAGTCCTGGCAAAGAAAATGGTCTTGATGATCCTTTACCCTCCCGTTCTCCACTATGGAAATCGCCTACCAAACTAAAAGTAATTTTTTTTTTATTTAATCTATATTTTAACATTATTTTAAATCAGTTACTATTGAATTTTCTAAGATACAATTTATTATTTTATCTTGAATTTGGAACCTTCTCTTTTCTTAGTTTAAATAGTTTTATCTAAAAAATTGGAATATATTGTAATGGATACTTCTCATGAGTAGATAGAAAGTTTTATCAAGTTGTTATTGGAACAAATCTGTAGGACATAAACTTCATTCTTTGCATTTTCAAACAATTTTTGAAATGTATGTGTGGAAACTATGGTTTATAAAAGTAGTGTGGAAACTTTGAATTCAATCGCTCAGCAGCTCTACAACTGCATACTTCATTTAAATAACAAAAGCTAACAAAATATTACAAAAAAAATGATTATGTAAAATCTGAACTGATTCTTTCCTCGTCCAAATTAAAGCCAATATCAGTGGTGTCTCTGATAAAGTTTTAAATCATCCACCCTTGATTAATACGTATTGTATCAAACAGATTCATCTTATTTCATCTGTCATGATATAAGTTATACTATGAACTAGTTAGTTGGAATTGATTAGGTGCACATTTATTTCTAAACATGCAATTTACATTGTTGGTTTTCATTCATTTAAAGATTACTACTAAGAGAGAAAACAAACTCCTAGAATCTGTTAACATTTAAATAAGCTATATCTTTTGTTTACGGTCAATGATCAATCTTAATCAATTATGTATTTATTTATTTCTATTGGAGTTCAATTATTTATTTTTCTCAAACTTCACTTAATTTTTTGTTTTGCCCAAATGACTAACTAAAAATCCAAAAGAAAATTTTTAGTTTTTAAACCTTATTTTATTTTTTTATTAACTTTTAATACCTAAAAATTAAAAAAAAAATTATTTTTAAACTTTGATATCAGGCGGTGTCTTTATCTCCACCCAGAAAACCAAAGGTAAAGGTTGATAAAAAATTGAAGATAGAAGAGGATACAGCTGCTAGACCTGATCCTGTCGCGGACAAGCCATCTGACCCTATTATTGCTAAGCCTTCTCCTCCTCAAGTTGTTTCGCCTAATGTACCATTGAAACCACCGCAAAGGCCTGCTATGAAGATGGCTACCTCGACTCCTATTGCGAAACTTCCAAAAACTATTTCAAAGTCACCTCAACATACTCCATCGCCTCCTTCTCAGCCATCTCCTAAGCGAGAAAGATGTAAGTTTTAACTAAGCTTTTTTTTTTTTTTTTTTAAATTTGTCGAATCACTTATTCCCTTAATAACATTAATCTATTAATGTAATCATTATTATTTTTACAATATAAGTATTTATCCATTTTATGTTTAACTTTATTTCAAGGAAATATTTAACTTGATTCATGAAACTACTGTTTCAAACATATGTCCTACATTGTTATTTTTGATAATTTAATCACAGCAAGTTATCAATTATCCTGTAACAACAATCAATAGTAGCTCAATGAGATGATGAATAAGTGAGTTTTTCAATGAAATGACTTTATCACCTCTACTAGTGTTGTCTCATCTAACCTGTCAAATCGCAGCTGACTTTTTTTTTTTTCCTTTTTCATTTTTTTTTTTTTTGGCCCAATTATTGGCTAGGCACGGACCACAGAGTTAGTTTTACAATGTTTTAGAAAAAATCATCTTGTAGCTGTAAACTGCTTCAATGTGCAATGGTATTAGTGAAATTCCTCAGAATTTTCATGAGTTTTTTATGTTTTATTAAGTATTTGTAGTGCTTCATAATTGTTTATAACAAGTAACCTATGATGTTTATTTTTATGATTTGCTTAATTAATTGTAAAATACTTATATTTGTTCATGAGAAAATGTTATATTTAAACGAAATATGCTTTATAATATAAAATAAGCTGTTATAAATAATATTTAAAAATGAAAAATGTTAATTCACTATTCCTCTTATTTATATCATTAAGTTAATGGGGTATTTTGTTTTGAACATTGTACCTAGTAACTATTTGGTTTTTTGTTTTAACATTGGTTTTTTATCTTAACTGCTTTTAATCCTAGGTGTCACCCAAGTTCCAGGTTGTAAGCTTACTGAGGAGCAGCTAAAGTCACTTCCTTGTAGGATACTTTCGATTACAAATGGTCAATTTTATCCCGGGGAAGTAACAAAAATTATTGCACCTGATATTTATGAAGTACACATTTACAAAGAGAGGTGTCGTAAACCTCAGATCCTTTGTCGGGATGAAATTCTTAGCTCATCGGTAAGATCAGTTATAAACTTGGAATAAGAAAATATAAGAAACTACTTACATTTTCATAAAAATTTATTGGTCTACAGGTTGCTGAGGTACATTGCCCAGAAGATATGTTCTTACCATCGGGTACTCGGGTTTGTGCTTACTGGTCACAGCAATATTCATGTTTCTACCCTGGTCGTGTTGTTTTCGATTCCGCTTCAGGTCAGGTACCTATAGACTTTGATGATGGTGACAATGGCACCATAGAAAGAACCAGTGTCCGTTTCTTACCTCAAGACTACCCTTTGGTTGGTGAGTAATGTTTTTGTATTAAATTTATTTATATGTGTTCACTATATACTATATAGAGGTTAGGAAGAACAGTGCCTTCTGTTTTCAGTATCTTTAACATCTTGAGAGATTAAATGTTATATTTAAGATAGTGATTTGTGAAATAAAAAAAAGGACTTTTTAGATTACTTTTGTTGGAAATATGGAAAACATAATAATTTTAATTATTAAAAATGCATTACCTTAATTTTTTACATAGTTTCCTAAAATACCTGTGATTTCTGAGAACACTCTAAAAGCCGTTCCCTTTTGTAAGTTCTTAAAAAAAACTTTCTTCTATAGTTACCTTATTTTATAATTTTCAGCAGGGCAATATTAAAAAAGATTTAACCCAATCCTCATTTTGTTATATTTAGGAGTGACAATAGTGACTTAATCTTCTAATTTCTATGACATAAATAAAATAAAAATGAATAGACAATTCTGTTTGAAAACACTGTCTTGGGGAATCAATGAAGTTTTTAATTTAATATTTATTTTTAAAATTATTGATCCTATTTTTTCTTTCAAAATAAGATTTTTTTTTCACAAATGTTACCTCACTTGATTGTGATTAAATTTGAGATCCTTAACATGATTCCATTTTAATAATTTTTTTTTTTCATTTTCCTTCTTTTTCAAGAACCACAAAATCCACTTGGTAAAAGAAAAAGGTACAATTCGACTACCAGTTCTGACAGCCATAAGAACAATGATGTAAGTTATATGTTTTTTTTTTAAATAAGCAATAGTTCTTTTATCTTCTGCTAGATTTACACAAAATAATCTTTTTTTTTTCTTCAAACATTGCCTAAGACGAATTAGAATTCTCAATTTTAATGTTTTGATGCTTAAACTTTTTTGGTTTTACTTACTTTCAGTCCACCCTATTAATCGAATTTCCTTATTCTAGATGAAATTTCATTTAACACCAATTCTTTTCAAATGAACTGGAGTATGCACTCTCCTGTGCATGTAGAGTTCATGTAGAGACTAGTGTTGATATTTTTATCTAAAAAATAATTATTTCTGATTTCAAAATAAAAACCAAGGTTGGAAAAAATATCAATGTTCGAATACCATGCATTTCATTACACTAATGACAACTATAAATGTTGAAGGAACCAGTTTTAATGGCTTTGAAAATTGGAGCAATCTTAAGCTGTAGTTTTTTATTTGGAGGCTTTTAGATATAATTTTCACTTTTCATGTTTCATTATGTATATATATATAATTTTTTTTTTCGGTTGGCACTACAAACCATGAAGGTCTTTGGCCGCGAGACGTGGTCTCCTTACAGATGTATGTTGCTTGAGGGAGCTCAGATAGCCTGGAGAGGGTCATACAACCTCATGTTGCTACCTACCATGGTGCAGCAGCAGGCCACCTATAGCTCCATAGCCGATCCCTTTTTGGCCAATCTGGCAGTGTCCTTCCCACCGACTCATTCGGGTTCAAGGACAGTGACAAATCAGTCTAGATCCATGGATTATGACTGCTCGAAGTCAGCAGGCACACGAGGACCTATATTTCTTTCTCCGAAATAGACTGTCCACGGACCGAACCTCAGGGCAGCTACTAACATTCTGATAGACCACATTCCGATTCCTGATTAAGTACACGGGGTAGGGTCATCAGTCCTACGCCCGGTCGGTGTGAGTTGCCTCCAGTATGCTGACGGGTTTCACATACCCGGGGAGGGGGGAGAGACTCGGGCAGTATGGTTTTTTCCCTGGTGGACGGTCACCCAAATCGGGCGGTCACCCATCCAAGTACTAACCATGCTCAACGTTGCTTTACTTTGATTACCTATAGCAAGCGCCTTAGCCCGTATGTATATATATATATATATATATATATATATATAATATATATATATATATATATATATATATATATATATATATATATATACTTTAAAATTTAGTATATCATGTGAATATTGTTAACTCAATTCATATAATTTATTATTTGTTAATTTTTATTTAAAAATTTAAGTATGTATTCTATTTTTTTATTATCTCTGATTAATCCCTTTTAATTTCAGACCATCGAAACTTGTACAGAACCAGAAAATAGTTCTACTTCCTCTGCAGAAACTGAAGAGAAAGTGGAAATAAAACCAGAATTAATAGAAAATAATAAAGACAAGATCAGTGAGGAGACATCACAAGATGAAGCAGAAAAAAACAGTGTAATTGATGGGGATGGTGCTGATGAAATCATGTCAGTTTTACAGGTAAATATTTGATAAATCTTTAATTTTAATAATTTATAAATAATTTTTAACTATCTGAGCCATACCCGTGCTAAATTAGAACTATATGTGTTGTTTGATTCATATGGTGAGTAAATGACTAAGTGTGTTTCATTAGCTATATAACATTCAAAATTTATTTGAAATAACCAAAAGCTAATATGATTTGAGGGAATGCGTTTTCATTCAGGTGGGTTTATGTTTAGTTTTTTTAGAACGTGGTATGTTCTAAAGTATTTAAAGATAAGATATTATTATAAATAATCTCTTATTTCATTTTGCTTTTTCTGCTTCTACTACATTTTATCTTTCTTTTTCTTGTTTTTTCATTTATCTTTTGTCTTGTCTTATCTTGGCTTCATTTGTGCTGTGATCAATATTTGGTCTTTTCAGTAGCATTTTCAATAACAGCCGAACATGATTCTATCAATAGTGCAACAATTAAAAATTATTAAGTGTATCTTCTCACAAAATTCTCTAAACATGGTAAATATATTTTTTGCAGTTAGTGTTTGCAAACGAAAATAGCCTGTCCTTATATGTAATAATATAGATTATCATTAAAATCATGTTGAATCACTTCGCTCTCTGATAACAAATATAAGTGAGATTATGATAAATTGAATATTCATTAGTCAAAATGTCTGTTTTGTTTTTTGATGAAAACAGTAAAATCACCCTGAAAATAGCTGTAGTCAATATTTAGATGTCTCAACGTGAAAGTGTAGGTATTTTTGTATCTAAGAGATAAATCTGTTTCTCTGAATGGGCATTTAAAAAAATTAAGAATCAATATAAAATGGTTTCTTTTATTTTATATAAATTTGTATGTACAATTAAATAAATATATATCATCACCACTATGTTTAAGTAACAAATTTGAGCTATTGCATTTCAGGAATTCATTCATTACTTTTATTAATTTAGCAAAAGTGATCTTGCAAATTAAAAAAAAATGTGCTTTTGAATATCATTACGTAATTTTCTATGAAATTTATTCTCCTGTACAGACTTTGTTCTTCTTTTTTTTTTTCTTTTTTTTTCATGTTGAAAATCCTCTCCTCTGCTCAGTACCTGTTATTTTCAATCTAGATCATTAAGATTGGCATTACATAATCTTTTAATTGTAAAAGAAAAAGTAGAGATAGTAATAGCTAAAAACTTTTTAGTTTTCAATTGATGAAACTAGCTGGAAGTTTTAAACTTGTATTAATAAGCTCCATTCGTTCAAATTAATGAACTTGTCTTAATACATCCCATATACGTATTAATTTGGGGGGAAATGCTCCATCCCAGTCATTCTATTAAAAACAACCCTCTCGATGTCATTTGTATGCCAATTATTTAAATTTTTTTGAAAAATATCTCAAAGTTGTGATGTGAAACCTTGTGTTTTTCTTTTTCTTGATCAAATGAAAACAAAAGAAAATTTTAAGTTGCCTAGTTGTTTTTTGTTTTGTTTTTCATGGCTTCTATTCTGGCAAAATAGGCACACTGTGTTTTTTTTTTTTTAATGTTTTTACGTTATACTATCAATATGTATCCTTAAAAAATAAATCATGTTTCATGCTTTCATTAATAATAGTTTTTTGAGTCAGAAAAAATTCAATATTTTGTTTATTCGGTGTTAACAAAATCAATTCTTTTCACTAGTCTCAGATCAAAGGAGGACTTTACAGAAGTTTGAAGGAGTTTACAAAGTAAATAAAAAGAAAACTTATACATATTTAAAATTTATTGATGTCTTACTTTTGAAACAATAACTAGTTCAAAAAGCTTTGAATACGACCCCTTTCCACACATTCAATACCTACCAAATTTCACAGCCATTATTATTTCAACTTTTATTTATATTAATTTTAATTGTAAAATGGAAATTCATGAAATTGATACTAGACGAGTTTTACAATGTTCTACAATTCCTCTGATTTTAGGAGCTATTTTCAAACTATAGGTAGTTGAAAATAATATGTTTAAAAAAATGAAAGCAAATGTATTTTTTTAATGTATTGGATGGATTTTGATGACACTGACAAACTTTATTAATTGTTTATCAATCCCTAACTTCCTTCCAAATTTTGTCCAAATCGAACATGCAGAAAAGAAAATATATTTAACTGTGCGTTACCATAACTATGGGATGGAATTTGATAAAATTTATATAAAACCGTCTAGACACCAATTTATCAAATTTTCATGAAAATAACAGTAGTAGATGATATTTTACCCATCACTTGGAGTTGACTACAGACAGATATGGACCCAGATTTTTTCCTTGATGTGTAAAACAATAATACGATAGCAAAAATTTATGATTATGAACATATAAACTTGACTAACCTCTGTTATAAATGCAAAGCTTCTTATTTTGAACAATTTACTTAAAGTTACGTTAAAGCACTTGAACTAAACATTTAATAATCGGTTAAAACATTTAAAAAATAAATAAAAGTGCACAACAGATTAGCATCATATAGGCCACATTTTTCCCTATTTTTATTTTGAAAATAAAAAGTACATTAAGTACATGAGAATTTAAATATTAAATCATTTAAGCTGCTGAATATCTTTCTTATGTTCTGTTTTTGAACATTTTATTTTTGTTTCCAAATTTAATTTATCGAAATGTCAGGACGTTGAGGGAGATGGAAGAAAAAGTTGAGAGCTTAGAAGGAAATTTTCTCACATCAACTCAATTTACAAATTTTTAACTTGGTAAATTAATACGGAGGGATCATAGAAGTGTGAAAAGTGTTAAAAAGTTCAAAAATGATTAGTGTCAAAATACACTTCTCAAGCTCCAACTCGATTTTTGTAAGGTCTCATTAGTTTAAGAAAAAGAGAAATCTGGTTATTATGTTTCTCGTTTTGCGATATCTTTATTTGCATATCTAATGAAGTTAGGAGGAAAGTTATGACTGTACTTTTTATATTAAATAATGTTTTTTTCTGGACAAAGCAAGAAAACTTAACATTCTAGAACCTTCTATCATTTCTTTCTATAGCTCCCTCCTAAGTATTTTGGTGCCCTTAAGTGTTGCCTATTATATGTTATAGTTTACTTTTACAATTTAAGGCTCTATACATATTTTTTATTTTATTTAATTTATATCTCTTTATTTTACTATTGTTTTTTTTTTTTTTTTTGGAAAGTATTTGTAAAATATATAAAAGAGTTAATACTGCAATCCAACGTTTTATTCAGAATTTTTTCCAGAGTGAGAAGAAGGAGGCTCTGCAGAAAGAACGGAAAAACAGGCATGGGGAAAAGATTCACAAGCACCACAAACACCATAAACACAGAGAAGGGTGCAAGACACACAAATGTAAGCATAAGCACCTCAGGAGTCGCAAACATAAACATTCTCGTGGTAATTAAAATATATTATTCTCTCCATTTGAAAGGATTCTTCTGTTTTGCACGTTTATTTTCTAACCTGGAGTAACAATGTTACATTAACATGTCTTATTGTTCATTAATGCATTACATTGTACATTAATGCGTGTATACTGGTGTCAGAATGTATAAATTATTCTAAACATTAACATTAGTTTTCGCACATTTCATTAGTTGATATTAACTGTTGCAAACGTAAAATACATTTTTCCCTATTTTACATAACCTTGCTTTTCGATATGTACATACAAATTATTTACTAACCGTGTTTTTTAATACATTTTCTATAATTCAGTTATAAGTCTAAGCATTGAAATCTTAGTTCTCAAATTTGTTACAGTCTTGAAATTGGTTAGAAAAGAAATGTAAAAATGATGTACTAAATCTCACAGATGTAGCGTCTTGTTCTTTTTGGACTGGGCCTGATTCTTAAAGCAATCAATTATATTTATCTGTGTGATCTATGTACTTTATTACTTTATCAAAAGTTTTGATTTCAGTGGAATCCGGTCAAATGCTTTCAGTTCCTTTGAATACTGGGTTAAATTATGTTTGGTTGCATGATCAATATATGTCTGTCTATAAGTATAACCTTTATTGAAGTAATATAAGTTAATAATTATTTATGTAAATAAAAATGTTTTTAAGTTCCAATTTTAACATGCGATTTTCCATGGTGATGGCAAACTCTAGATTTGTGGATAAAACTTTTCGAAAGTATCCAAACTCTATATTATTGTGAGTATATATACAATAGATGTAGGTTTTGGATAATTTCAAAAAGACTAAAAGTTTTATCTGTATATATATATATATATATATATATATATATATATATATATATATATAAATTAGAATTCATAATTTATTATACATTGATAGGTTCCAGAAATCTATTTTTAATCTATTTTAAAATAATAGATAGTATCTATTAGATGTTAAAATTATTTTTACCTAAATATTTTATTATGGTGTGGATGTTGTCCGAACATATAGTTTAAGGAGAAGTTGATTGTGTTTACAGTCAATGGACTCAGAAGTCAGAATCCTATTAATTTTCATGTGGATCGGTGAAGCCGTTCTAAAGTTATCACAAGTTTTGTGGTTGTTGACAAAGTTTCGAAGGGTTGGGTCTAGACAAAAATTCCGTGCAGAAAATTTTAATTTTCCGATTTTCTTGGATTTCATTTTATTTTATTTTGGATTAAATTATTTTCTGTAACATTACATTGGAATAAGCCTGTGCTGCTTACCAATGGGTTTATTTCAAGAGTAAGGTTTATTTTTCTACTACATTTTTTATAATTCTACATTAATAAAGTTGTTTTTATGAAGAAACTGGTTATTAAATATCATAGGAGTAGGTTTGCGAAATCGTTTGGGGAGGAAGAAAATTTGTAATGCAAACAAAATGAATGCTATGATAAACTGTATAACTCAATTTCAATACAATGCTACATACATTTAATAATTGTAAATCTGAAACATTCAAATGGTATCGTAAAATATTTGAACAGTGTGCGTTGCTTTTACATCTAACAGATGTTGCTGTTTTAATAAACATATCCTAATGAAAAGCATAGAAAAAGGAAACTTGTAAATTATGCCGTATAAATACCTCTAAACACACTCTTTACTATAGCTACAATATATAACAAACAATTAAAAGAATCTTTGAACATCCAATTTATACCCCAAATAGCATACCCTAACAAAAAAATAAATCATGGTAATTATGCTTTACAAAGGGTTTAAATCAAGAAACAGAACTATTCTAGGATATTAATTATTTAATTTTCGACATGTGATTTTAATCTCCTACAATAATTCTTTATTTTAATCTTAAAATTAGTTTTGTATCTTGTATAAATATTTTGTTTTCTTCTCTCCACCACATCCTCACATTTTAGGCTGTGGGGATTTTCCGGGGCCAGAGGAGAGGACGGAGGATTAATGCCAGAGTTAAAAGCTTCCGCGGCTTTTTCAAAATCATCTTTGGTTTTAAAATTTGACTATAAGAATATTATATCAAAATCTTGGTCTTGGTATGATATGTTAACATATATACTATCACTATAAAATAAAATAAATAATATAAATTTATAGCAGATATTAAAAAATGGGCCCAAAGTCTAGTAAAGTAATTTGGAAGGTAATTAACGCTTTGGAAATATATTGAGGCTAAATTTTTAATTAAAAATATTGAATAAAATTTCCTATAACTATAAAAAGTTAATTCTAAATTTTAGGGTTATCATAGTGTATACAACCATGAGATCAATTAATTAAATAAAATATTGGGATTTAAACTTAGTATGTTTGTTTATTTTAAACCTTAGAAGTGTGCCTTGTACCGAAAACCAATTATTATATTAAATTTTTCTCAAGCTGATGGTGACCGGACATCTTTGTACAAAATCCTAGCACTCTTGTGTGAAAATTTTACATATCACTAAGTAAAAATAAATGATACTAATTTCATTATTATAATTAAATTGGATTATGGCTGTATCATAGTTATTTTTTGGTTCTTCTTGCATAAATCAATTTATTAACTGATTGATGTTTTATTTTTTCATTTATAGATGAGTTGAAAAAGAAAGAGAATGACTCTAGCTCTGATAAACCAATTGACATTGCAACATCCAGTTCTAACTGTGATAAAGAGGATAAAGAAAAGGCAAGTATAATTTATATTTTTAAAGACTGAAATAGTTTCCATAAAATTTTCTTCTTAGCTGTGCGCTCATTTTACTAAAAATGAAAAGTGTTTTATTATTCGAACAAAACACTGTTAATTGTTATAACTTTTTTTTTTAATTCTTATTTTTTATATTTGATGAACTTCTTGGATAATCAATTCTAAATGATACATTTTGATATTATAGAATAAAAGTGAGGAAATTTCAATTAATGGTGGTGTCAATTTGGCGACTGGTTCTAAATCAAAAATAGCTGCTTTTCTGCCTGAAAAGCACGAAATGTGGTCGTGGGTGGGGACAGGCGTTAAGAGAGGTCGACCCTTAGGACCCAGGGGCAAGGGTCTCAGGATCTGTTACAAAGCTATACAGAGAGGGAAAGAAGTCATATCTGTGAGTTTTTGTATATTATATATTTGTATCATCGCTATTCTAAAGTTAAATAGTTTTACATTCTATAATTGTTATAGACATATGAACTTCCTTCAAGTAAACTGTATTTATGGTTTACATCAAATCATAGTTTACATTTTTTCTCTACCTAGGACTCCACATGGACAAACGTCTAACTTGGAATCCTCATACCAGACTGAAACTACAAGAAACTGCTTGACGTTTCCAATTACTTCAGCACTTACTAGACAAATGCTCTAAACTTCCAATTAATTACAAAAGACTAATTTACATGACTATAACAAGGCCTATTTGGACTTACAGAGTTGAGCTATGGGACTCCACTAAACCATTAAATTCCTGTCGTATCCAATCCTTCATAAAATCCTTAATGCTCCCTACTTTGTTACAAATAAATAAAACCATCTATATTGACCTTAATATTTCTTATGTTTCAGATCTGGCCCAATCCAGATACCTATCCTTCCATAATAAACTTCAGAATCATCCCAACCCTCTCGTTTCTAACCTTGCTTCCTCTTCAATTCCTGATAACCCTCCGAGGCTTCTGAAAAGAAGATGGTCCCGTGATCTCCTAATGTAGACATATCATTATGCTACCATTGGGTAGTTTCTCAACAAGTGTTTTCATGTCATTATATCCATATGTTCAAATTTACTAAATGTATTTCTTTTATACAGTCGTAAATATTATTAAAAAATAAAAATAAAACATTTTTTCTAAAGAATGATTGTTCTTTTTAGGTTGGGGATTGTGCTGTATTTGTTTCAACTGGTCGCCCTGACAGGCCTTTCATAGGACATATAGAATCATTTTGGCAATACCAGATGAAGAAGAACATGACAGTGAGGGTTTCATGGTTTTACCATCCTGAAGAGACCATAGGATGTCCTGATAAATTACCATATCCTGTAAGTAGCATTTTACTTTAGTTAATAAGTGAATTTTTGTTTTAAAAAACATAATATTACAAAATATTACTGTTATGCTCAGCTTAATACGATACATTTTCGATATCTCAGCTCTACTTTTTGAGATAAGCGCCACCTGCTTTACTCAAGCCACTTCTTTCCTAAAACATAACAGAAAGACTGTTAGTGACCTTGTAAAGAGAGTTTCTTATGGATACTTTGGTATTGATTTCGATAATGCTGGGCACGGCATCAGGTTCGTAAAACTTGTACACAACATTTACACCAGTGAGCTAGTGGGGGAAAGAAAAAGTTTGAAATTTGGTATACCGGTGGTTTGGAGAGAACTCAAAAACCATTGCGATGACTGTTATTTTGGTCTAGTACATATTACTGGAATCAATTGAGACAACCGTAGCAAGTGGACATTTCCTGATGTAGCCTCTACAAGGCATCCAGTCCCTCACTCACGGGAAGTACTGACCCCAGCTTCCAGAGCTTTCTGAGGATGAGTGTTGTTCCTATAATTACCCTTCTGGTACCATTGAAGGTGACTGTGATTCAAAGGAGATGTCAACAATTTCTTAACGTTTCAACCAGGATGCATTAAATGACTTCGTCAGAGATCTTAATCTTTCAAAAGAAACTTCTAAATTGCTGGTTTCCAGGTTGAATGACAAAAATTAACCAGAACAAGGAACCAAAATTTCTTTACCATACAAGAGAAAAGGATCTGCTACCATTCTTCTCTCAAGAAGAAAATCTTGTGTTTTGTCACGATATTAGAGGACTCCTGGAAAAATAAATCTTTCTGAATGTTTTCCAGATGATTAGGTCCTATTTATTGATAGCTCAAAGCAAAGGTTGAAATATGTTCTACAAATATGGTTCGATACCAAGTGCTCACTCAGCAACAATGAGAGAAATATATAACACCATACCTTTGGTCTTGGAGAAGATAAGTTATTGTAAACATCCATGGGTGATTAGTGTGAACTTAAAAACGGTAAACTTTCTCCTCGGACAGCAAAGTGGCACGATCAAATATCCTTATTTCTTTTGCCTCTGGGATAGCAAATACAAAACACATCACTGGGTTAGACAAGAGTGGCCTAAGAGATAAGACATGAAATAAAATGAAAAATTAAGACACGGTTGGAGAAAATAATGTTATTAACGAATCCTTAGTAGAACGAGAGAAATTCATCTTTCCTCAACTGCATATCAAGCAGTTTCTAAAGACTCTTTGTAAGGACTAATCATGCTTTGCATTTATTGGGGGGAAAATGCCTCACTTGAGTAAGGAACAAATTAAAGCAGGAATATTTAATGGCCCAGAAATAAGTAAATTCATTAAGGACCAAGCCTTCATAAATTCCATGAATGAGGATGAGCAAAAAGCTCTTGGACTTCATTTGTTGCAGTTGTCAAAAAATTTCTGGGCCAACAAAAAACAGAATACCATGTTGAACTCGTCAAGGATATGCTTAAATATTTCAAATCCTTTGGGTGCAACATGTGTATTAAGGTCCACTATTTACTCAGCCATCTGGATTGTTTTTCTGAAAAAATAAAAAAAAAAACCTGAGACAGCAGTGAGGAGAAAGATGAATGATTTCATCAAGATATTAAAATTACGGAAGGCCACTATCAAGAAAGATGGAATGCACATATGATGGCAGATTATTGCTGGATTTTAGAAAGGGGCTGTTCCATGATATATTCAAGAAGATCAGGAAAAAGAATCTTCCGAGATGTTGAGTGACTATTTTGTTCCATTGATGACTTGGTACTATCTTTAAATATATAATAATATTAATATTTACTAATATTATTTGTATAATATAATAATATGTGTGTAATTTAATAATAAGAATTTCATTTTTAATTTTTAGATTTAACCTAATATAGCGTAAAATGTACATTTCACTAAAACATTATTTGTTAGAAATTTGAACTTTAAGGCAAAAAGTGATGCTATATTTCAATTCAGGGCACCAAATTCATATGAAATCAGCTCCAAATACCCCGGCACCAAAACTACCGTTGGCCTGTGTTGTAATAATACGTTGTTGAGGTGGTTTTGATTAAAAACAACAAATTAATTAATAAATTTATTAATTGTTATCGCTCTATTAAAAGTTTAATAATAATTTTAAAGTTTTGTGAACTATAGATATATGAGTAGGGCGCTCAATCCTACGTCACAATCATTAATTTTGGCGGTTGCACAATGCTGAATTGCGCGAACTGAACCTGGTCAATATAATTAAGATAATAAAGTTGAGACGAATAAATAGGGCATATAGAATCCCTGAGGTTAGTAATGATAGAATTCCTAAAAAGTTAATATCCGCCATGCTGAATGGCAAGCGTCTGAGAGGTGGGCAGAAGCGAAGTTGGGAAGATTGCATTAAATGTCTGATTTGAGTTTAGAAAGCGCCTAGTAGATGAAAGAATGTAGACATGATTAGTGGTGTCGGCATCGAACCTTCGGGTTCGCTAAGCCTTATTATTATTATTTTAAAATACAATCCTTACAAGAGGCCGCCTTATGTTTATTATAAATACGATTACAATATTCACTAAATAAAATATGTGAATAAATTCATTGACTCTATAAAATCAAAATAATATAAACGTAACATTGATAATAATCTTGCTAATAAAGAATTTGCTAACAACGGAATCACTAACTTAATCCTCTTTAACTAATTTATTAAATGGGCTCTGGCATCTTAGTGTTACTTAAATATGTTGCAAAATGATGAAGAAGGGGGACAGACGATTCCTTTCAATTTCATTGGTCGAATAGCACGTATTCTCAATCTTTAGATTGCTGCCATCTAGAACTTTCTATTAGTTTTTGCTATTTTATAACTCTTGATATTCTAGATAATTAAATTGGACAAATTATGATTATTACTTGGCCGGGTCATAATCATATAACAGGTTATAACAGTAATTGAAGGAAAAAGCAATTGAGTGGTTAATGTAATAAATAGAATCTGGATTTACTTGTAAAACAAAAACATAAATTTGTAACGCAGTATGAGACATAGGTAAAAATAGAAGTTGATGAAAATTAAATTTAAAATAAGACAAATTTTATGAAAAAAGTACACATTAACGTTAATTATTATTAGAAAATAATTTAAGGTGACAGATTATGTAAATAGAGGAACATAGTTACATTTTTTTTGGTTGGCTCTACAGACCTTATAGATCTTTGGCCGCCTGAACCAGCCTTCTCCACCTCTGCCTATCTTGGGCCACTGCTTTCCAGTTCGCGGCATGAAACTCAGCTGTATCTTTGTTTATCCTATCTATCCATCTGGTTTTTGGCCTCCCACATGATCTCTTGCCTACTACTCTGGCATTCATTGTTGTATAAAGGCGTCCTGATGGATTGCTACTAGCTACGTGCCCCGCCCATCTTAACCTCCTTGCCTTCATGTCATGAGATATTGACTGACCCGTTTCTTTCAGCAGTTCTTTATTGTTCCTTCTCCTCCATGTGTCAAAGTTCTGGTCCCATATAGGTCCTGTTATCCTACGTAGAACTTTTATTTCGAATCTCAATTCTGGCTTCTAGTGTGCCGGTTAGAGTTCAGGTTTCACAACCGTACAACAGAACTGGCTTAATCACAGCGGTGTACACGCTTATTTTTAGATTTCTGGAAATTTTTCTGGATTTCAGTACCCTTGAAAGAGAGAAGAAAGATCTGTTCGCACTTGTTATTCGCTGATCTATCTCGGTTAGTTGATCATGTATTGAGGTTATTGTGGAGCCAAGGTATTTGAATCTGTCTACTTTCGGGAATGACTTAGAGTCCACGCAGATCATGTTATTAGGGTGGATGTTTCTGCTAACTATCATGCATTTTGTTTTATCTACATTGACTTGTAGTCCGATTTGTTCGGCTTCTTTTAACAGAGTCCGAGCGAGTCTCTCAATATCCTCTTGATTACTTCCGAGATAATATCCTATATACAAATATATATTCTCCATGTAATATACACAATGCTTAATTTGCTTTTAAATTGTATGATACATAAAATGAACTATCAAAGGGTTTACAAGGATTAGAAAAAAATTCAAATACACATTAATTTGGTATCTTGTAAGTAATGAATCCATCAATTTTAAATATTAGTGAAATTCTATTTTATTTTTATATAAACTAATTGCCCATTTTAACGCTTTAAATTTCACACTCCTCAGACTCAATACAAACTTATTATTAATAAAACTAACCATTTATTAGCCCAAACATATTAACTTTAATTTTGTGGATTGATAGTGTATTAATTACTTATTTTACATAGTCTCTAATTATTCTTTTATAATTATTTTTTAAGGGTGGTCTGTTTCAATCTCCGCATCTAGACAACAATGATGTACAGACAATTTCTCACAGATGTGAAGTGCTTCCCTTCACGAAATTTCATGAAAAAGCAGAAAAAATTCCTGGCTTTGTGGATTCAGTCTATGAGAACCATGAAACATATTATTTAGCTGGACACTATGAGCCTGCAGCTGCTAAGTTAGATCTCGAACCTGAAGTAAGTATAGATTTTGACTCGTGTTTTTTATTTTTATATTCATACTATAAAAACTGTATTAATTTACTTTTAAATTGTGTTATTGTGAAGCATGGTGTCTTATTTTTATAAATTAATCACAACCAAATCCACCAGTTCTTGTCTACATATCTCCTGCCATTGATCCTTTTTGTTTTAAACCTGTTAACAGTTCAGTCTAATCCTTCCATCTATGTTTCGCTCAGTCCTTTTTGATTTATAGATTCATAAATGTATTACTTGTCAAATATGTGATGCTTATGTTATTTTTATTTGTTCAGGTTGAAGCTGAGTGTGTTGTAAAAGGACTTATGAAGAATCCTTGAATAAAGAAAATGGAATGAATTTTCAAAATATTTTCTTATTAATACTTAGTGGACTAAGCACTATACATATATATATATTTTCTTGCCTTCTCCTTACATTAGGCTTTAGGCATAAGTTATTTGCTTGTAAAATACAGTCACTAATAGTGAGACTTGTCCATAGCTTTTAAAGTTTAGTGACTCTAAATTATATTTTGTGCAGGTTGTCCGAACATTACCTGCTATTAGAAGTAGTTGTGAAAAATATTATATTTGTACATATATATATTGTCAGTGATGTTGTTTGTAAAGATTATAAATAGAAACCTTATATGTTGACTAATATTGAAGATTTAATAATCAAAAATAATCATTAAGAAAAAGTGATGTCCCATGGTCTGCTTAGGTATAATAGAACTTGTTGTCACAGTACGAGGTTGTAAATAAATGAACCCTCAGTTATTAAAATCAGAAAATTGTTAAATATTATTAAAATTTTGTAAAAAGCTCTCAACATGAAAAAAACAAAATTATTTTTTAACTTATAAAATAAATTTGATATTAATCATTTTGCGTTTATATTGTTTTTTTTTTATTTCCTAAGAAACTAAAACCTTTTAATGATTGAAACATGAGTATTGTTAATAACGATACTTTTGTTTTTATCTTTACCTCCCTTTTTATTGGCAAGTAAAGATACAAAAAATTCAACTATATAAATGGAAAATATAACTTAAATTTATTTTTGATGAGAATATATTTTTATACTCTCCTAGCATTGTATGTCTTTTGAAAGAGCTTTTCTACATATTCTAAAAAAAAAAAATTATAAAAAATTAAAAAAAAGATGTGGAAATAAGCAATTTATTTCAATTCATAAATGAAAACGATGGGACTATTCTATTCATAACAAAAAGTTGGAATGGGGGGATCAAAATTTATCAGTGTTTACTATGTCAACATATCTGTGGCAACAACACTGAATTTATTTACCCAAATAAATGTTACTTACCAATATCAGTTCCCATTTGATATAAGAATACTCTTAGATAAGTAACAGTAACAAATCAGTTTTTATGTGAAACTAAGTAAGTCTTCCTGTATTTAGCTGCAAACTATACGCTTCGTATTTCTTGCAAACCTCTATATAAATATGTTGGCACATTATATTTGTATATTTAATGAAATATAGGTAAATTTTGAAGCATTTAATTTTACTAAAGAATATTAAAAAAATTGTAGTAGACTGTTAGTGCCACTTTTGCCAGTTTTTTCTTCTCTTTCTTTTTTTCTTTTGTATTGACATGAACAAATAACATTGATATCAGGATAGTATGTGTGTATATATTTGAAACATGCATATGTCAGTTAATCTTATAAAAAAGTTAAAGTAATATTTATAGATAATATATATTTATACATACATAAGACATATGTGTATGTATATTGTTAGATGTTTTTTATACTTACATTCAGATATTGTTAAATATCACAATTAGTGTAAATAGTATTCCTTGTGTACATTTTTTTCCTGAAAATGTGTACTATGTTGCAAAAAATTATGCTTCTTTTCTAGTATATCCTCCTTTCCTGTGATAATTTCTTTTTTTTCATTTTAAAGCATTTAAGTTGCAATTACAATTCAATTATACAATTATGACTTGAATCATGTTTCACTCACCAATCAGTTTTAAACTTTGTTACAATGTATATATAACCTTTTACTAAGGCTTAGAAATAAAATATACAATCCTAGAACATATTACGGGCAGCCTTATAATGTAAGATGACATCACCTGTTAGCTGTTTGTTATTGTATTTACTTAACAATAAAGTTAGTATACTAGACATATTTATATTCTTACATATGACTAATAGAGAATAGTATTTTTACAATGAATGTATGCCATTTTATTTTCTTATTTGAATAACAAGTTGCCATGATTGGTCGAGGTTATAATGTTATCCCTTATAATAGTTTTTCATCTTCTTTAATTTTTGTTTTTATGTACCTCCAGTTCTATAGTGTACATTTTAGCAAAAATACAAAGTTTGAATTATTAGGTTTTTGACTAACTCTCTGAGTTGAATTCCTTGAAGTTATCTTTTTTGTTTTTGCTGGAAGTTTTTGATAAGACTGAATTTAAATGCAGTTGAAACTTTAACTATGTATTGAAATTGGCCGTACATGCAACTAATGTCTACCTAATGTTGCAATAACAATTAAATAAATGAAAATTTTGTTCCCAAATCATAACGAGTAATGAATCATGTAAACTAAGTAGATAAAAAATTGAAACAAAAATTTTTTGCTATCCAAGAATAATTTTATCAATTACATAAGTAAATAAATAAGTAAAATAAAAACTTAGCTTAGTTAACCAACAGGAATAGTTTACAAAACAGAAAAAAAAATAATAAAATTTTATATCAGTTTTTTAAAATCCTACTGCTGCATTCCTCTTTTTTAGTCTATTTGAATTCAAATTTTCCATTACAGTTGGTAATTAAAATATCTAAAATTAAAAAAAACCTAACATAGTCACTTTGCTCTATTACGTAAGCAATTTTATAGTATTTTAAATAAAATAATAATAATTGGGAAAAAATAACTGCAATTATTTAATATTGTGACAATTAAAATTATACAGTCTTCGATTTAATAAAGGTAAAGTTTTTCAGTGAGTAATTCATATTAGTGTGTGCCCAAAAGCCATTTTTTACAAAAAAGGATTTTTTTCAATGATTATTTCATTTTTCATCCTTCAATCAGACATTGTTTTGAAATTAGAACAATATTGATAAATTAACTTAAAGTTGTAATTTAAAAAATAATTTTTCATTAATTAAAATAATTAAACTCTATTTCTAATAATTCAAACATATGCATTTATCGACAATCATACAATACAAAAATGGGTCTAATGATATTTAATAATGTATTAAGTGAGAAAGATATTTGCACAGAAATTTTAAAAAAACAACAGGCACACTAAATATTTATTGCTTGAAAATTCAGTCTCCGGTTATGATATTGTTTAATTCATCGTAATTGTTTAATTCAGGTAATTCATCATGATTGCATAGTTATGATTTCAATTTTATTTTTAATTTTTTCGATTTTAGAGCTTTCCGTTCCGATTGCTTTTGTAAGTGCTTTAAAAATATTGTAAAATGTAAGCAAATATTGACTTTCCCATGGGCAAATTCAATTTATACCCATCTTAGTAATAGTGAAACATAAGTGGCATTATATTTATATTAGTATTGTACAGATAAATGTATTTTCAACAATTTCACAACCAATGTAAATATATTTTATTTTTCATTATATAAGTATTTGTAAATCAGATTTTGAATTATATATATTTACATAAGAAATGACATAGAATATAAATATATATCATTATTAAAAATTATTTTGTCTAATAAATTTGCCCATTGTAAATGTGTAGTATAGTGGAATTTAGCTCTTTTTTGACTCAGTGTTTTTTTGTATATTAGGACAACTGCACAAAAAAAATTAAATAATTAAAAAATAAAAAAAATTGTGATATGTTGAATAGAAAATTTATACTTTACACGGATTTTATTATTGTTTTGAAAGAATAATAATGACAAATTTATTTTCTTATAATCCAATAATTTGAAATATATATTTAATACTTAATACAATTGATGGTTTGTTTTTGTCATTATTATTCTTTTTTTTAAATTATTTAATTTAAGATTTTAAAAATATATTATTTGTTAGTTATAGTTCCCACTGGTTTAGTTATGTGAAATAAATAAAGTGTTAGTTTTAGATGTTTGATAGATGTGGAATTAATATCTATTTAGCAAGTATATACATAGTGATTCATTATACTATATTAACTTACATAGATTCCTTGCTAATCATTAATCAGTTCATTTATTTAACAGATCATTAGTTTTAATTTAGTACTTATCAAAATTTGACTGAGTAGCTGAGTAAAGTTAGAGAGATTTAAAGATCTATGAATTCAAACAACATATTTTTCCTTAAGTGTTTGTGTATTTATATGATTGCAATTGTTTCAGAAAATAGCTAAAAGGGAACATCAGTATAAACTAAGATTAGCTACAGGTTTGCCTTATGTTCTATGTTTAAAGAAATATTTGAGTTATATTGACCTTTAGGTAACCAATTAATATATATTTTAATCTGTGCAATATTAATGGCTTAAGAAGTTGATGCTGGTTTTCAAATATTTGCTAACTTTTTATTTTTATGCATTAAATAATAGTTTTGTGATAAAATAAAGCAGTCTCTCTACATATTAAAAATTTAAAGAATCGTTGCAAGAAATTGGGTATTTAAATTGCAATTTTACTTCCTTATCATATTTCAAATACATCTTATAGCATCCATTATTTTTTTCTGTGTTTATTGACATGAAAAATGTATCTACAGTTTTAACTGCAAATTTCAAATTTGAAAATTTTGGTTTTGTGATGTAATTAAAGATGTGTGAAAAAAAATTTATTAGCAGTTTATTGTAGTCAAAAGAATGATCTGATTTGTTACTCAGAAAATATTTGTCTTTGAACTTAAAGTTCAGTTAACTTCATCTTCAAATGGTTTCTGCAGTTAGGAAACAGTTAAAAGAAAAATGAATAAATCATAAAGTAGATTAAGAAGAATTGAAAAACTATGTCATTCTGCTTGGTTTTTTGTTATACATTAATTTTTAAAAAATAGTAAACCATCCTTAAAATATCCATAATATAAATCTAGCTTGTTTTACTGTTAAGTTAAGCAAAAACAAAACAAGCAAAGAAATTTGCTTTTTTCACATTTTCTGTTTGCACTTTTTTATTTTGATGAATTTAGCCAGTATTCCATATTGTTTGCTTTAATTTTCTTATATTGTTACTCAGTCATTTGAAAGTTATAGGTGAAAAATATGTCTTTCAAATGTACTTTTGAGAATTGACAAATCATTAGATGTAATACTTTTGTCAACATTTTTGAAGAAAAAATAATTGTTACCACTTTC